ATTATATGGTGCCAGCAGCATATGTGTGTCTATCATCATTACCACTCTTACCAAATGGCAAATTGGATCGGCGTGCACTTCCAGCACCAACCGATGAAGCATTTCCCCGTCAACTATATGAAGAACCGCGGGGAGAAATGGAAGAAAAACTGGCCGCAATCTGGAGTGAAGTGTTGGGTATTGAGCGAATCAGCCGAAATGACAATTTCTTTGCGTTGGGTGGGCATTCTTTGCTAATTGTACGAATGATAGCACAATTACGAAAGGCCGGACTAAAAACCAGTGTGAAGAAAATATTTGATGCTCCCACCTTAGTCGCACTAGCTCAGGCTCTCGGCAAACACCAGTCCTTCAGTATTCCACCCAATCTGATCACTGAAGACAGCACGAAGATTACTCCGGATATGTTACCTCTTATTAGCCTATCTCAATCGGAAGTTGATTTTCTAGTAGCACAGGTACCGGGTGGTATAGTCAATATTCAAGATATTTATGGGTTGGCACCATTACAAGAAGGCATCTTGTTTCATCATATGATGGCTGAGCATTGCGATCCGTATTTGTTAGTTACTCGTCTACATTTTTGTAACCGTGAGGCGCTTGAACGTTATGTAGCCGCTTTGCAACAAGTGATTGAACGACACGATATTCTGCGTACCGCCTTCATCTGGGAAGGACTCAGTGAACCGGCACAAATTGTTTTGCGTCGAGTTCCTTCGATACTCACCGAAGTCATACTAGACGAAACCAAAGAGTCGGCTCTGGAACAATTAAAGAACCGCTTCAATCCACGTCATTACAAACTAGACCTGACCCATGCACCTTTGCTACGTGTGTTTGCTGCTCAAACTGCTGAAGAGGATTGGGTGGCAGTGATCCAGTTGCATCATTTAATTAGTGACCACACAACACTAGAAAGACTGAATGTAGAAGTACAAGCCATTATCGAAGGACAAAGTGATAAGTTAACAACATCCACACCATTCCGCCATGTAGTGGCTCAAGCTCGTCTAGGAGTTAGCCAGGCCGAACACACTAAGTTCTTCGAAGAAATACTTGCTGACGTTGATACACCAACCCTTCCATTCGGTCTGAGCGACGTTCACGGCGATGGGACTGAGATCGATGAAATGCATCTGAAGTTACCACAGGAGCTTAATAATCAGTTACGAGAGCATGCACGTCATTTACAAGTTAGCTTGGCTAGCCTTTGTCATTTGGCTTGGGCACAAGTACTTGCTAAAGCCAGTGGACACAAGACAGTTGTCTTCGGCACCGTACTATTCGGTCGTTTACATTCCGGAGAGAATGACAGTACAATGGGGCTATTGATGAATACACTACCAGTTCGACTAGATATCGATGAGAGAACTGCAAAGAGCGCCGTGCGTCATACTCACTCACGTTTGAGTGCATTGCTAGAACATGAGCATGCATCACTTGCGTTGGCACAACGTTGTAGCGGAGTGACAGCAACTTTGCCACTTTTCAATGCGCTACTGAATTATCGTCATAATCAACTGAACATGGGGGTCACTTCGTCGATCGATGGGGTCACCTTCCTTGGAGCTGAGGAGCGAACAAATTATTCAATTACTCTATCGGTGGATGACGATAGCGATTCGCTGAGCTTAACAGCCCAAGTGGTAACACCAATATCGGCGGCACGGATTTGTAGTTATATGCAACAGGCCCTCTTCTCACTTTCTGATGCATTAACAAACACACAAGAGAAATCGGTGTGCACATTGACTGTGATACCACAAGAAGAACGAGAGATGCTATTGTATAGCTGGAACCGAACGACTGTCAATTACCCTTCCGTTCGATGTCTTCATGAGTTATTTGAGGCCCAAGTGGATCGTGAGGGACATGCAATTGCTGTGGAATGTGAAAGGGAAACACTGACTTATGCAGAACTTAATATTCAGGCCAACAGAGTGGCGCATTACTTGATTGCAAAAGGAGTGAAACCAGATGATCGCATTGCAATTTGCGTTGGACGCGGCACGAAAATGCTTGTGGCATTTCTGAGCATTCTAAAAGCCGGCGGCGCTTACGTACCGCTGGACCCGACTTACCCAAGTCAACGGTTAATAAATATTTTACACGATGTCGATCCATTGTTTCTTTTGGCAGATAGCACTGGTCAAAAAGCACTTGGAGTCCATCAAATTCCAGTGATAGACTTAGATGAGGCGCTGTCTGATGGCTTGTCGGTAATGAATATCGATCCGACTAAATTGGGACTAAATTCATCTCATTTGGCCTATGTGATTTATACTT